ATGACTATCCATACATAAATAATGAAGCTATCTCTATTAGAACGCGCTATAGATATTGAATTATCTTTGATTTCGTGTGTATATTTTGATTTAAAAATAAACAAACAATATTTAATATATATATCAAATAGTTTAATTAACAAAAATTTAGAAATTATTGTTTATTTACATATAATTAGTACAACAACTTGCTACATAGTATAACTGTCACATATATGCTTCAATAAATGTTGCGGATCGATACGATCTTTAAACAAATTTTAAAAACAGCTACATGTTACACTGCTTCAGAACGTGAATGCTATTTTCAAAATATATATTTTTTAAACAATTCACGTGATGGAAATTAATTCACAAAATGCTTTCAGATTCATACTTATCTTCATGAAATTGTTTAAAATGTATCAAAAAGTAAAATATTGTCATCATATAAGTGATCAAAGAAAGTAATTTACATATTGTAAATTACTAAAAGCATAAAACAGGCCAGAATATACAAAATAGTCATTACTGCGATAATCAAGAAGAAGAACACTGATGATAACTTTAGAAAAATCAGTCATTAATTTCATTTTACATGCAAATTATTTATTGAGTTGTGAATATTTATACTTTAAAAAATCGGAGCAAACGTTTCTCATGGTTGATATTCTTGAAATATTTTTGCTTATCTGGAGATTTGCAGCTTTAAACTAAAAACCATTTTAGGAAGCAAATTGTTTGATAATTATTTGCCTTCTAAGGAATTAGTGTTTTAGGTAGACAAAAAGTAACCATTCACACGGATGAACTAAAACTTGATATAGTTATTTGCAGTCATTAATCTTAACTTAATCATTTGAGATATTAAGCTCCAGAAATATGCAAAATGAAGAAAGCAATCCCCGCAAGCTGCAAAAAAATAAATACAAAAATCAATTTATTATCTGTAATCATACCCTATAATACCGTTTACAAATAATACTCTCATAATTTGCTTCATATTAGACACTCTAAGTCATATTTCCATCATCACTAAGAAAGAAAAACATACATCCGTCAATTCAATAAAAAGACCAGTCAGCTTGAAACCTTGATAACATACATTATATAACATTCAAAACGTATAGCAATTTGTTTGTATTTATGAACAAGAAACATTAATACAATTGTTTTACCAACACATTTGAATGTATAAAGTTTTGTGTTTCAAAATCAGAACTTTTAACAAAGTGTTGCCCATTGTTTCAAGGAATCGCGGGTTTATGTAGAGTTAACTTGTATCCAAATTGCTGGTTTAATGATTGATTGTCAAAATGAAACAGAAACATTTATTGGATGAAAAACAGTGACGACGTCATGCTAGGCGTCAATATAAAAAAGACACACACAAAACCGTATAGTTTGTGAACATGCTACGTGTCAGTTTGTTTTAGTAAGCGCAATTATTAAAGAGTAGAGGAACCATTCTGAAAACTGTGTCTTACTGTGAAACCGTGTATTTTCTTCTATGCAAAAACTATGTTTTTATATATCGTCGCTATATATTACTAAAACAGATTTTAGTTCACAACGAACTAAACCTGACATTTAATCAAAGATTTGGGGGTAGGAATAAGACATTTATGTACACATTATTCTTAATTGTTTTTAAGAAATAGCTGGTGAAAGACAATTTCATTCCAGCCTGAACTTTATATGCTCATCATTTATTAAAATCATGCTACTTCTACGTGGTTTCTAATCTGAGTTGGACGTAAGATAATTGATAAGTCTATTGCGTCTGCATGTGTTGTTTATTTATATTATCCTTTGTAATATTTCACAGACAGGTTGGCATAATAAATGGACGTAGATGTCATAATAAATATTCGCGGCTGATAATGTAGCTGATCAGCATTGTCAGTATTCTCGACTTTTCATTTTAGCAGACTGAGCTTTGAGAAACACGAACTGTAAACAGTGTTTATGTTGTATATAAGTTTACAAATGTGGACATTTTGCATAAGAAATATCAGTTTTTCCAACTGACGTAGTGAAAATTTACATTAGCTTGGTTTTAAACTTCATATTTCTATATAGACAGAATGAATATATTTCGTTGGATGTAGGTCCTTGGACGATTGATTAATTTGCGGGAATATTCTTTCTTGTTTTAGTTTTCATACCTACATACAAATGAGAGGATTCAAATTTTGGCATTATTGATCCCTTAAGATTACAAAATGGGTTCTGATATAATGTATAAAGGTATAATATATCAGGCGAAAGGCAGGGACTACAATCGTTCTTAATAATAGTCTGGTATGTGAACGCATAAATATGATTTAGATTTGGAAAGTTTATTAATGTAAACGTATTTTGTAATTAACGTCATTGCAAACGGTATTATTTATTAAACTAATATAACTGAATAATCCTTTACAATAGAATAATAACTGCACTTCTTCAAACGTGATTGTTATATGTTTCAGAGAAATTCATATAGGACGGAATATATATCTTAATGGCAGTAAAAGATTCCAAAGGAAATATGTAGATGGAAGAAGGTTTCTGATTACAAATTTACTTTAAAAATAAAAAGTTTGGGTTATCACGGCTTTGTTTATATGCTAGGAAATGTTTTTTCCCTTTTCCAATGAAAACTTATATGAATTTTTATATTATTCTATAATTGCTAGATTTAAACATATATGTTGAAAACTATACAAAAACACAAAAACAATTTTAAATAAATAATTAATTAATAAATTAATATAAACTTGCAAAATTAAACAAAAAACGCTGTGTGTAGCTTCGAAAGCAGACCGACTGCTGACGACATCTAAATTAATGAGTGTCAGTAAGTATAAACCAGATCACATTGTTGTAGTTTTCACATAAAAAAAACTTTTGTGCAGCATAAGAATCCAATTGGACTAAATTGAAAACTCGGATAATCTGATGAATAATTTATTAGAAGATAACATACATCAACTTCAATCAGACGATAGATATACATTTGTTTGGTCGTTGACATCAGTACGTCCAACATGCATATGCCATTTTAGTCATAGCATCGGCTTGAGCGGTACTCATTTTTCAACACGTAAAAGTGCAGAAATCAATGATCCCGAAGTACCATAGAAAATATAACAACAGTGAAGTCAAGCACGGGGCAACATTTAACACCTGTCACACAGCACTCAACACTTGCTGTTGCGAAGTATAAAAAACAAATTCCATGGTGAAATTTCAACCCACAGTCGTATTGGCAAATGGTTTCATATAGTAACAATAAAAAAGAGAACTTAACACACAATTCAGCGATAGCAAAGAGTGCATGCGTTCCCTCATTCGTTACAGCCAAAGTTAACAATTAACAATATTCGTACGTTGTTTGAACTGCATCCTGTGTTTTTTTATTGAAATAGAAATACTTCAACAAATACATATGTATTATCAGAAACAAAAGCGGTAAAGCTAAAAAGGAATTCATCAATATTGTGTGGATTCAATATATCATAAACATGATATCGTAAATTCAATCATTTCATATTGATGAGAAAGCTACATCGTATTAATTTTATCATATTGCTTTTGATTGATGCAAGTTATTCATAAAGAACATATTCTGACTCAATACGGTCTCCAATTACCAGTCCAGGAATTTTCAATTGCAAAGGACCCACGTAATATGAAAAGTAACTAGAACAATTTATATCACAATTCAAAAAGACAATAACACGAAGATACCAGAAGCATTTAAAACATGAGCAATAAAATAGATAGCATAGGTAATATTCAATTATCCAGGCTGAATTAAAGCTAAGATGTTTACTTTTCCAGATTAACAAATTGTCCTATATTAATTTAGCATCTTTTCTCAGGTATTAATATAAGTCTGATTGATTTCTTCTGTTCGACATGATTTTTACATTATTATGCAAAGTACGTGTCAATATCATATGTTAAGGTTCAGTGAATGGTATTGAAAGAAAAGCATTCGGTTCCTCCGGGCGTTTGAGAAAAACGATTAAGATATCTTCATTACAAAACTATATAAAAGAAGAGTAAACGAACACATGTTGTTTTTTATTAAAAAAAGGAATAAAAAAGGATAAATGTAAAAACAAATTCATAAAGAAAGCCCAAAACGACATAATTGAAAATGTTGCAGGGTCTGCTCATAAGATTATTCACAATTCTATGTAATGTTGTATTTGTCATAAAGAAGGCAAAGAAGTATATCATATATACATGTACTAATAATGCTTATAATGGAAGACATGAATTGACATCTTAAATTATAAGGAGACAGTAAACAGTTTCAGTTGATTAGTATTCAATTTGGCCACTGTAAAACACACCAATTTGACACAAAGTAGATATTTGAGCTACGTTATATTGATAGTTTCAAATTTCAGTGACTAGTTTTGAGATTCAGTTAAGCTAAATTGATTTTAGTGTTGTCTAGCCATGTATTGTTAGAGAGTATTTGTCTGATTCGAGTTAATAATTCATGAAAGTCACTTGGTAATCTGCTCTAGTATAAAACTTACACTATATATAAAGAGAAGACTCAAAACAGTAAAAGATGAGCTCCAGGATACTTTATCTGCATGCTATTTTCATATTGAATTATGTCTGAGAAGAAAAGAAGACAATGCACTGTATAATACATACATGTTTCTGTAGCATTTCAATGTAAGGAATTTTGCAGTGTTTCTGTAATATATTTTCGCTATGATAACGAAGAGTTATCTCGGTTTAAAAAAAGAAAAAAGAAAACTAGATGATGGACATGTATTATTGATTGTTTGCTGTAAAACATATATTATACTCTGTTTCCGAGAAGCCTGGATATACTAAACTGTAACTGCAACTGAAAACTGTATACTAACTTATAAGCTCGTGTTTGTTTTGATGACTATCCATAAATAAATAATGAAGCTATCTCTATTATAACGCGCTATAGATATTGAATTGTCTTTGATTTCGTGTGTATATTTTGATTTAAAGATAAACAAACAATATTTAATATATATATATCCAATAGTTTAATTAACAAAAATTTAGAAATTATTGTTTATTTACATATAATTAGTACAACAACTTGCTACATAGTATAACATTCACATATATGCTTCAATAAATGTTGCGGATCGATGCTTGTTTTTAAACATAGTTTAAAAACAGCTACATGTTACACTGCTTCAGAACGTGAATGCTATTGTCAAACAATATATATTTTAAACTATTCACGTGATGGAAATTAATTCACAAAATGCTTTCAGATTCATACTTTTCTTGATGAAATTGTTTAAAAAGTATCAAAAAGTAAAATATCATATAAGTGATCAAAGAAAGTAATTTCCAAATTGTAAATTACTAAAATCATAAAACAGGCCAGAATATACAAAATAGTCATTACTGCGATAATCAAGAAGAAGAACACTGATGAAAACTTTAGAAAAATCAGTCATTGATTTCATTTTACATGCAAATTATTTATTGAGTCGGAGCAAACGTTTCTCATGGTTGATATTCTTGAAACATTTTTGCTTATCTGGAGATTTGCAGCTTTAAACTAAAAAAAACATTTTAGGAAGCAAATTGTTTGATAATTATTTGCCTTCTAAGGAATCAGTGTTTTAGGTATACAAAAAGTAACCAATCACACGGATACACTAAAAATTGATATAGTTATTTGCAGTCATTCATCTTAACTTAATCATTTGAGATATTACGCTCCAGAAATATGCAAAATGAAGAAAGCAATCCCCGCAAGCTGCAAAAAATAAATACAAAAATCAATTTATTATCTGTAATCATACCCTTTAAGAAGGAAAAAACAACATATATCCGTCAATTCAATAAAATGATCAGTCAGCTTGAAACATGATAACATACATTATGTAACATTCAAAACACATGTTTGTATTTATGAACAAGAAACATGAATACAATATTTCGTTTTACCGACAAATTTGAATGTATAAAGTTCTGTGTTTCAAAATCAGAACTTTTAACAAAGTGTTGCCCATTGTTTCAAGGAATCGCGGGTTTATGTAGGGTTAACTTGTATCCAAATTGCTGGTTTAATGATTGATTGTCAAAATGAAACAGAAACATTTATTGGATGAAAAACAGTGACGACGTCATGCTAGGCGTGAATATAAAATAGACACACACAAAACCGTATAGTTTGTGTACATGTTACGTGTCAGAGTTTGTTTTAGTAAGCGCAATTATGTTAGAGTAGAGAAACCATTTTGGAAACTGTGTCTTACTGTGAAACCGTGCATTTTCTTATATACAAAAAACTATGTTTTTATATGTGGTCGCTTTATATCACTAAAACAAATTTCTGCAACGCGCAGTCTATCACAAACAAAACAGTGTACACGTTGTATCTAAACAAGGATACTATGACCACGCACCCATGTATTTTCATTATATAAATATCTATATATAAACGTGTACAGACGTTAATAAGTAATATCATCGTAAGTTATACATTAAACTAATATATAACAGTAGACTTATTGCTAAATGAGGTCTAAATGCTAATGAGCCGATATTATTTTCAGTCAAATTAGACAATGCGTCATCACTTCTTCTCGTAATTATAGTGTCTTTATTTCCAATTAAGTCACATACTGTAGAGTTTTTTCGGAGCACCAACATAGCAATGTATTTTTGAGCACTAAAGAATACAAGTTGTTTATTTGTACCATTCCCGCAATTCTTTGCGTTGAATATGTACACATAATTTCTATATCGGTCTTGCACAAACGTCCAGCACATGTATACACCTTCATCGATATTATGCGTAATCAATACGTCATTTTCACCGATAATTTTAATCGAAGCAATACAAACAAATGTCTTTTGTGTTTGAACATTCCATTCTTGTTGGAGATTTTGATATGTGTAATAAAGTTGTAAAACATGACCAGGACTTTCGTTGTCATAAGACAGACATCCCTGGTTAGCCAATTGATTTTTGTTGTCATACATTTCAAAGAAAGCTGAATTCTTGATATACCAAGGAAGGTTACAATTCACATATTCTGGTGAATCTTTGATAAAATAAACCCAAGGACCAGAGGTCCTAGCTATGCCACTAGTTTCTGCAAAGGTCGGGCGGTAGTCAAAGAAACGTTCCTCGCATACATCATCAATAGAATCAATCGGCCAAAATAATTCTTTTCCTGTCCTATATCTGATAACTGAAGTTGTAGGATGCTCGATTTCAGTACACATATATCTTGGGTAGCAACCATTAGAAAATTTCAGTTTGAGGGCATGTCTCCCAAATATTTCAAGACGATTGTTGCTCTTTGATTCGACACATTCCCATTTCATATTGTTATACGTTAGTGTGTCGTTTGTTATTTCTAAAGCACTGGTGGTAGGATGTAAGCTGTTCCAACGGCCATAATAGGCATGGGGAAATGAACATGATTTTTCTTCCATTTCTGGTTCACATAATGCACAAGACAATTTACATTTGTCTTTGTAAGTTGAACAATGATGGTAACTACATTTCATATTTTGATCAGCACATATACCTGTTACATAATGCGTTTTGAAATGTTTTAATATAAGCATTCGTTCATAATTTTTATTATTAGACGGACAAATGCCGCTAAAGTATACATACATCTCGTCTATTTTGTCATTCAAATATGTAACACGTATACACCAAAACTTTGGAGTACCCCTCCATTTTACAATAGCAAAAGTGTATTTATTATACTGCCAAGATGCAACACACCGTATTTCAACGGGTTCTGCTTGTAATGGATCTATCTTTAGATCACGACCCACAAAAAGATTTGAACAATTTCTACGTCTAAAGTAAAGCTTAATCCCTTCATGGTGAGTACAATCACTTTCTATTCTCAAAGGAAGAAAAATGTCATCACATAGAGGTGTTTGTTCTCCATAATGGTAAAGTTTGAAGTCGTATCCTCCAATAGCTGGACATTCGTTCACTTCTGTAGCATGTTCCCGGGAAATCATTGGATACTGATCGAGCACTAAATGATTCTCATTGCATAGACTGTCAGATGAATCTTTTGCATTATAAAGGGTAATTCGAACTTGAACAACGCTTTTACTGCGGCGCAAGAATTGAATGCATCGATACGTGATTTCTGTTTCATATGTAGATCTGTCCTTTACATATTCTCGCACCAGAAATCGACTTCCTCCGTGAGGCACAGCACAATGTCTTTCGTACTCTTGACACTGCACATGCCCTTTATTTCTGCATTCTTTAATTATCATTTTGGTGTGATTTACAGAAATCGAAACTTCCTTATTGTGATAAGTAACGAACCAAGAAGGTCCTTCACCTTGAGTTTGTAAAAAGTCCGGAAAACGGCACTCGGATAAACATGATGGTAGCAGAGCCAGAACGACAAAGATAATCGATGGACGTATACTCATGTTGGACGGAATGTTGAAGTTAAATCCAACAGTATACACTTTGATTCATTTACCGTGTATTTCGATGTTATATGAATGAATATCAGGTACAGACTGAGGTTTTTCAGAAAAAGTGCTACATTTATTAATATCTAAAACCTTAGTATTTAATCCTCGGATTCTCAAATTTTAATTTCATTAAACCCCATTTCGGTAATTTCATGGTAACATATTTGTCATTATCATTACGTATTGTCTTTTAATTAACACATACAAATTACAGCAAACAACATGTTTTTGTTCATGACGTGTTATATTCGGTGTTCATTGCTTATCACATACTTTAAGCTCGTGTGGGCCGTTTGACATACCTCGCTATGTCTTATGTTTTTCTTCTAATCCGACTTTCACATGTCGTTTCAGCCTTGTCTGAATAAATGCCTTTATTATACTCACGGATAACGGTCTTGTTATCCAAGCATATTAATTATATCTAGGTAAAGAATGAACATACTGATTTGTAAATTCCAAGCAATCAATACAATACGTTATGCTTAAATTTACACTCGGTATTCCAAATGAATTCTCCAGTAAAATATTGTATTTATTCCCGCCAGACCCTTTGACAAATGATAAAAACTACAGTTGTTGTCAAAACAATATCTACATCATTTTTCAAGATCTTTCTTGCTCTAAACGGAGGAATAGTTCTGTACTTAATTTCCCATATTATGTAGCAGGAACGAATGAGTTATTGATGCCTTGTTTGTATTCCCTGTAGTCATTTGGCAGTGCATTTAGACCTTTTAACCCGTGTGCTTAATACACTCTATTACGTAACGATCCATATTACAGTAGGGTTAATTGGTAATTATGTGTTATCCATATATTCTTGCATCGTTAGTGACAACTAAAATCTTTGTCACATATACAATTTATTGCAAATGCCACATTTAAAATCCAGGTTAACATCGTCTTAAATTCCTTCCCACAACAGCAAATTCCGCCAGCAATACACAGCAGTTGTAACGGATTTTTTTATTTTAAATCTGTCCTCTTCGAAATACACGACTGCGTTGTGTTAACATTTTCTGAAATATAAAAAAAAACTTAAATCTTGTGTGACCACTGTTTCTACTTATTTATCTTCGTCAAGTCATTTAAGTAACATTTATTTTTATAAAAAATTCCTAATTGAACATTTTAATCCTAATACATTTTTAAACGATCTTCCGCATTACTATTTGAAACTGCATTATTCCATTTTATTGATATGTCCGATTATGTTATTTCTATTAGATATATTTCAAAATTTCCATTTATAATATTATACATAGACTTTGTGAAAATAATGTTAAGAATTTTGTGGTATATTAATTATGTTCATATGAAACAGTTTTGTTCTGCAAAGGTTAGTTAACGAAATATACACATTTGAAAATCGAAATTTGCAAGTGAGAAGTTTGCTATGTTTCCTTCAATAAATCAACAATTCTTGATGTAACTAATAATTTACGGCTCGTTTTATATCAGGATATTTCCTAGATTCAACTTTCGTTTAAACAATATGCAAGGTTTGAAATAGCTTTAAACATTATTTGTCCTGGCATTGCACTGGCTTTTTGCTTTTCTTATTGTTTTTGCTTTATATTCGTCGAATGCAATGGATTTTTATGGATAACTTTAAATCTATATTTTTAAAACTGTCTTAATAGGGCTTAATGTGTCGACTTTGGTAATATTTAACCTTTTTACGATATCATATTGGAAGTTTATTGTCTAGTAAAGGTCGTTAGACTCTCTTAATGTCTCGTGCAATGCTCTTAGGAACACAATGACAATGTATCATATAATACAGATGTCCCGGTGAAGGCTTAATGAAGACGGTAAAATCCCATGACACCATTCCGAAAAGAGCATCGTTCGACTCTATAACAACATAAAACATTCACATTTTGCAAAATAATATGTTTTTTTGAATTATTACAATTAATCCGTTATTACACAAGCTCTTGGTTGATATATAAAACCTTGAATTAAAATTATAACAATTTATTTTGACAAATTGATGAATTAAAAACTCTACTGTAATTCTAAATTAAGTATCATTTGGGTTTCTTCTGACATTTGCCTGTAAACTATATTGAAAGCCATGATTAACAAGAAAATAATAACAATAATTTTACAACTTGTTTGTACATATCTGAAGATGTTTTGATTTAATTACTTTTATTAGATATGATACACATGAGCACTTGACTAAGTATTACCTAAAAATGTGTGTTATTTTTGAGTCTGTGAAAAGTTGAATTTTTTATGCGCATACATTTATTTAAGATAAAGATAAAAATGTAAAAGTTAAAGATATAAGATGCTCAAATTTGATATAAGACAATATTGAAAATTGCTACACTGTCTGTTCGTAAATATAAAATAACCATGCTTTGACTTCACTCAAAATATATATGTTCTGTTTAAAATTCTACACACTAGATGTGGTCACAATATGAATAAGAAGTGTCTTTAAAAAACTGGCATTTTTGTTAAGAGAGGATCAACTTTACTTGACCTGTATAGGGAACGCAGCTTCCAATAGATTATTCATTCTTTTTGCAACTGAGACATATTCGGTAAAGATTTAGATTTCAATACATTTTTGTGATTAAAATATTTTACATATAAAGCAAAGATTGGGGTGTGGCATTAAAGAATATAAGACAAAAGATGGTGAAATCTGCTAAGTGCGCATTTGGGTCCGTAATCCTTAAACGATTAGTCCCTGTAACAAAAGAGAGAGTAAAAACAACGCTTATGTTAATGTATTACAAGATGCTGTTAAGAATAAACCTACCGCCAACAATCATCCCCAAAATAAATAAATACATAAACAAATAGATAAATAAATAAATAAATAAAAATAAAATTAAAAGAATAAAAAAATAAATATAATATTAATAGACAAAAATAAATAGAATAATAAAAAGTAAAAAAAAAATGATTTAACACAAGACCTCTGAACGGCACACACTATATTGTTTGGACAATGTTTTGTTTATAAAGTTATAACATTATTATTTTTTCCATTAAACACGACACTTCAGACCCTTTCTCTTTAACAATATGCAAGCATGCGTAATGCATTCAAGTAATTAACACACACCATGCTACCATACATTATACCATGGTAAGTACTGTAGTAAAACACGTATCCGCAGAAAGCTATTGTCTACTGTTTCTTGCTTTAAGACCTAATCTTCAATGCTTTGTCATCAAACACATTGCATTATCAGGCTCGTTTTTCCAATTAGCATTGTTGCAATTTCTTTTTCCCTCCTGCATTGCAATCTAACACAATGACAATAACAGTGCCACAAAAAAATTCTTGACAACTCTAATCAGTAATCAACTTAGCGAGATGAACTTTTGGAGAACGAAATCAATACGAATTAAATCGGAATGATTCTTTTAAACCACTTGCACAAGTTATTAAGTAATAATGGTTAATTAAAACCTTACAGCAATCGTGTTTATATAATATGACTTAATTATGTAATTAAAGTAGATAATATCGAATAAAATTTATAAAGGCACCAATCTGATAGGCTTATAAGCGTTATCGACACGAGTCTGCACAACAGAAGTATAGACAGCCAAATGACGTGAAGATCTGACAGTTTCAACACAGTGTTATATTCTTTCTGGCACGAGTCAAATATAAGCAGACGATAAGATCAGAAAAGACGCTTTCTAATAAAAATTATTTACGAAATATGTATATATTCATTTTTTCGTTTTTTCCGTCTTAATTTAAATTGGTATGCTTATTAAGTTAAATCAATTTCGATTTTTCAATTTTAAAAGTTATACTCTTTTAAACGTTTTGAATATGATAGAATAAATGTAGACTTTTGCTTCAGTCAAAACAATAATTTTCTTTTTGGACCTGACAAAAGTAAAATCAACCGAGGATCATTTATTTTTTTAAGACCGACTACTATATGTACCTCATAACAAATCTGTACTGTTTGGATATTATAAGAGTTGAATTTTCCGAGTACATTGAAGTCATTAATATGTATCCAATATATGTATAAATTTATATTGAGAGTCGTTAAAGTGTATTAATTATATAATTGTTAATCTGCAATTTCTAGCTTACGACAACACATGGAATCAAATATTATCTTTACAACTCTATAACACTATATTTTTTAGATGCTACTGGTATTATGTAAATGATTGTAATATTAAATGTATAAGTGTTTTAACTTGTTTCTCCTACCCATAAATTTTTTACACTTTTCAGAAATATATATCACTATCCATCGTGTTGTGTTAAGTCTTTCTTTAATATAAGTTTGGTTGTAAATCAGTCTGAATGTGTTATCTTTCCTTCTAAATTTCAATAAATGAAAACATACCAAAATTAGCTTAAAGCATAAAGTTAAACCTTCTTTGAATGTGGCATATTTTTGCATTGTTATCCTAGTTGAGTTAAAGAAAAGCGATAACTTAACCGTCAAACTAAATTGGTATATACCATTGAACGCAAAATAATACAAAAATTGTGCGATCAGAGTTGTTCACGGTCGTGCTATTTATAAATAAGGTCAGGTAACAATAAACGTACATACAAAAATGAACAGGCAGGGGTTTTTATTTATTTATTTTTTGGTTTGTGAAAACACTATTATCAATTATAATGTTTCTCCAATATGTTTTGATAGAATAATGTAGAATAATTCAACTTTAAAACCGTATTATTTGTTTAAGAAAATATATTTTTCTACATTTCATATTCATCTTTTCAATAGAAATACAATTCAATTAACTGAATGATATCTCTATTCATGTAAATATCTTTGATCTTCATATTGTAAACAAGCTATGTCTTTAACAAAGGTATAATTAGTCGAAAAGAGAATTTGTTGAAAATGAAAACTGGTTCGGGATATATTGTTGTTAAAGTCTGTGCTTTCATCGGTTATTGGCGACAATTGCTTTTTTTAGAGTATTTTAAGTCGAATTGCTTGTTACCTAAAATCTAAAATGACGTAATCGTCCCTAGTTATAATCAAAGGGCTGCAGCTCTATGGTATTTTCTGATCTTTGCAATCTAAATCATACTGACTATCTGTATGTACTTTCCTATATAAGTTTATTTTTATATACTATAATTCATCTTACGCAGCGACAGCGTTTTGATTTTCTTCTATAACAGTTTGAGATTGATACATATGGAATTTTGCATGAAAAAAATAGAATTGCCCCGACTAGGATTTGAACCATAGGCCTCTCACACCCTCAACGAGACCGCTTATCTCTGCACCACGGCGAAGTTATACATATGTACCTTGAATAAAAACGAATACATTATGTAATTCTAAATTGAGAATTTCCATTTCGTGTTTGCAATCCTTATTAATTTCGAGGTATTTTGTTCACGATAAACCTGTTGTTTAACACTGATGATAATAATTAAGCGAAAATCTTCTCGCCAAAACAGTCCGACATGTATATATTCCACTTAATATATACTCGGCAGTCAGATTTATTTGTGTACTACGCTCTGGAGTATTCATTAATCGACATAGCT